TTTATACCTAAGGAGTCCCGGTGTCATAGTAGTTAAGCAGCACTCTATTGTTAACTTACTAACTAAACGGTCAGCAGTTACAGCCCACCAGCCACTCAGACAAAGACGTGTAGTGTGCTCCATGAAGACCCCAGCCTTGGAAACCCCGTGGGGCAGTCCTGGCACTACAGGATAAGCAATGGACTGCTAACCTCAAGGTCGGTGTTTCAAACTTACCAGTCCTTCCTTGGAAACCTTATATAGGGTGTCACTATGAGTCAGAACTAACTCATTAACATACAAGGACAACAAATGGTAATTCTATTTAAAAATTTTGAGGAACTGCCACGTTGTTTTCCATAACAATTGTACCTCTTATTTCTTTAATGAAAAAAGTATCACCTACTTTTATCTTACAGGCCTGGTGGGAGAATTTGAGAAAATATGCATAGTGTCAAACACAGTGACTGGTACATACACAACAAATATACAAAAAGATAATGTTGTCGTTGTTAGGTACCATCATGTCAGGTCTGACAAATAATGATCTGTTAAGTGCCGTTGAGGCAGTTCAGACCCATAGTGACCCTGTATGGGGTTTCCAAGAAGCTCTGGTAGCATACTGGTTACAAATCAGGCTGCGAACCACAAGGTCAGCAGTTCGAAACTACCAGCTTCTCCACGAAAGATGAGGCTTTCTGCTCCCGTAAAGATTTACAGCCTCAGAAACCCTGTTACAGGGTCGCTATGGGTCGGAACCGCCTCAACGGCACTTAACAACAACAACATAGGGTTTCCAAGGAGTCCTGGTGTGGTGCTGTGGGTTAACGCATCAGACTATAAAGCCATTTGAACTGCAAGGTCAGCGGTTCAAGCTCACCAGCTGCTCCTCGGAAACCCTATACAGGGTCGCTATGGGTCGGAACCGCCTCAACGGCACTTAACAGCATAGGGATTCCAAAGAGCAGCTGGTGAGTTTGAACTGCCGACCTAGCAGTTCAAATGGCCTTGTGGTGCAGTGCTTATCCTACAGTGCCACACACTGTTATATTATTGTTGGGTATTTCTGAATTATAGTTAAGTTAGAATACACGGACCAAAATTTTACAAGTCCTTATTCTGAAGGTTAATTTTTAAATATTTTGACATTGAAAAAATTTCTGAGTCTAATATCTTCATTTATTAAGCAAATACTTATTTGGTATTTACAACATTAGAAGATACTTTTCTTAATGCCTAAGATACCTCAAAAAATAAATCCAAAGTATCATTCTTACCCTCAAGAAACTTACATTTTAGGGAAAGCTATATATTTAACAACAAATTTATTTTTATTTAATTAAAATTGTAATCACTATTACAAAGAAAACACACAGGATGCTACTAAAGGGGGAAATGACCTAACAGGATCAGAATTTAAATGTCTACACAAACATCCCACCTTCCAAGGGTTTTCAATCACTCCCTCTATAATTAAGTCTAAGCCAAACCTTTGTATAGACTTGATCTGTCTGGTTTAAAAGACAACAACACAAGTAATTAACCTGACCCTGGCCATTTTTATGTCCATTCAGAACTGTACACTGTAACTGTAGGAACTCTGTAAAGCCTAAAAATTAATTGTAAACACTTTACATAGTGGCTTTAATGAAAAAGAAAACAAAAGATACAGGTAGGCAGTTGGTAACTATTTGCGAAGAACTTCTATTAGAATACACAGTTCCTGATAAACTATAAAATCAACAATTTTATTTATGTGAATGCCATCATTTTAAATAATGACTCATGTTTCAAATTTTTTATTAAAGTACATATCACATATTTATTACTGAAAATAAATTGTTCCTGTGGCTTTTTAATTCAAGAACTACATTCAGCGTAGTAGTTATGAGTTAGGCTGCTAATCTCAAGGTCAGCAGTTCGAAATTATCAGCTGTTCCGTGGGAGAAAGATGAGGTTGTCTTAAGATTTACAGCCTCAAAAACACTATACATGGCCACCAAGAGTCGGAACCAACTCCACGGTACATAACCAACCAACCTTAAAAGTTAAAAAAAAAAAAAAATGGTTCCAACAATTTTAATGACAACTTGAAGATTCCTATCTTCAGATGTCATTACACTATTGTGGAAGCATACCATTAAAGTTCCAGGTAAATATAAAAGAAGAACTGAGTTATTAGATCAACTGTTACCAAAATACAACTAAGTTTATTTCATAAAACAGAACGAACTGGTTGCCTTCCACTCAATTCTGACTCATAAAGACCCTAGAAGACAGCATGAAATTGCCTTTCCATCATTTCAACAGCTAGAAATCTTTATAAAAATAAAGACTGCCATATCTTTCTTCCTCAGAGCAGCCGGTGGGTTGGAACCACTGACCTGTCACTCAGCACCTGAGCACTTAACCAATGTGCCACCAGGGATCCTAAATAGACTTGATGTTATTAGGTACCACCTAGTCAGTTCAACTCACAGCCACCACGTACAGGGTTTCGGAGGAGAGATTGGTGGGTTTGAACCACCCACATTGCAGTTAGCAATCCAGTGCTTATCTTACAGCGCCACATCAGGGCTCCATTATTTCAAATAACGGTTACCTAGAAATTAATGCAACAATGATTAAACCATAGCAATCATTGTCAATTCTCCAAAAGTGGCTTCTTCACATATATTTAGTTCAAAAGGTAAGCCAGTCCAGAGTCCTGCTGCCTATTATAATGAATAGGAGAAATACATGTAAATCAAATAGCACCATCTAGCAGAACCCTCATGACTTTGCTCACAAGGGAAGATGTTACTTGGTGCTCAGTTTGGTAGATTTGACAGAAGTGGTAAAGTCACAGAATTAGAGCCAGAAGGACCACAAACACAGTAACTCCAACTTTCTCTATAACCTCAGAGACAAAAAAAATTCTTACAAAGACATCAGGATACAGATTCAGCCACAGTTCAGATTCCTGGGAGTCCACCTTAAATCTCAAATTACTTTGATTCTCAAAGTCAATCACCCCCAAATTAAATGAGAATGCGCCTCTCTATACATTTCAACTCTCCTTCCCAATATGAAATCCAACTCTTCTGTAACCATTAAAACATCCTTTCTGGATGTACTTATTTTATCAGGTATTACAGTCAAATGAGTAATAAATTAAGCTGTTATTACAAAACTTTAACTGATGAATTTCAGCTGTTTCTTAACCAGACTATAACCCTATGCCTTTTAGATATCTCTTGTCGCAGAAACAAGATCCTGAAACGTAGCTTCTCAGAAAAATCTCTTTGCAAATAAAAAAAAAAAAAACAGCATCTCTCCAATAATTTTTTTGTTTTGCTACATCAAGGCCAGTCCCCTCAAAATCCTACGGGAATTGTGTGTATTGCTGCCAACACGAAGATTAGGAAATGTTCCCATCCCTAGGGCACAAGAAACTTTCAGAGGGAGACTGCCTAAAGCAAGGAGGGAAACTAAATCTTCTGCGCATTTGGTTTCTTATTTACGCAGATTCTTCTGTGCGCGAGATTACCAAAGTACCTTTTGAGAGATGCTCCCAGGCCTTTTCCCTCATCTGACACCCCTTCTAAATGCAACTTGCGTTAAATGACCAGGAGAAACCTGACCCTCAGAGTTGAGAAGGTTACTGGGAATCTCTGTTTGCTGCACAGAAAGGAGGGGGTTCTTCCTCAGTGATCACAGTCGCTACTCGTTCTCATTTTTAGTAACAACCAAATCACCGTTACAAGTACATAAGAATAGCAGCCAACAACCCTGCTTCGCAGTGTGCCATGACGGTGGCATCTCCGGGCAGGGGGAGCTCTTTGCTCGCCTGCCCTCTCCTCCGCTCCCACCGAAGTGAACACCTGTATCTCCCCACAACCGCGACCTAACAACTCCTCCCAACCTCAGAGCCTCTGCCCTCTCCACAACCCCCGTTTTGAACCTCCGCCCCCTCCCCGCCAACGATAGCCACCGTAGCACATACAACTTCCCCTCCGAGCGCACCACGACCACCACCCCGCCCGCAGCCATCTCCCGCACCGGACCACCGCGACCCCCAGATGTTGGGGAAGTAGCATGTCGCCACAAAAAGTTCTCCAGCCGCCTCTGCCGCCTCGGAGTTAGGTTAGCTTCGAGAGGCAAGAAAGCCAGTCTCCTCCAGTAGCTCCCGCTCCTCGCCAGCACACTTTTCCTCCCCGGAAACTCGGTGCTTCTAGGACTCCCAAACTTCAGCGGCGGCCCCGGC